TGTTCAGGGATGAGGCTCATTCTACTTCTACTCGTCCTAGCTGTGACAACTCAAGCGGGCTTGCTGGACATCGGTAAAGTGAAAGATTTCTTCAAAGGAGGAAAATACGGCGAGAAAATTAAAAACGCGACACTCTTAAAGTTCAAGAAGGTGAGTGTTGTTGAGAGTTTGTGAGATGGAAAACAGGAACATCAAAAAATACTGATTGTCTGTTCAGTTATTTGAAAAAACCGGCATACTTTCCCTTGGCAGCAAGTTGTCCGAGATGAGAAGCAAGCTGATGAAGAAGCTCGAACTCTCAAAACTCAAGAAAGTAGAAGTTGACCGCAAGATTAAGGTAAGCGCGTCCACATAATTTGCAAATTTTGAGATGTCAGACTTACTGATGAGGCTAGCAATTCAGGAAATCTTGGCCAAACGGGATGATACAGTAGAAAAGGCGATTAACACAATATTCGATATCAATGCTGGTAACAACGTCGGCCAACTACTTTACCAAAGTGACATCCTTCTGACAAAGTGGGTCCTTCATATCCTGTTTAACCCTCAAAATTATACTTTCCGGTTTAACCTTCAACATTTCACGAAAAATCATTGTCAGGAAACAAGCAGAAGAAGTCATCGAAAGTATCGAAGGAAAGAACGGTCAAATGAAGAGACAAGCATTCAAGGATGACTTCTACCCTGATAACAATTGGGTGGACGGAGTCTTTTATAGATTCGACGAAAGCATAGGTCTGCTTGATGTTACAAATACCAAGAAAAACATCTTCTAGTTATTTCATTATCCGTTGAATGTATACGAGTTGGCTTTGACCAGTGGCTTTCACTTGGTCAAGGTTGTGACCAGGTAAAGCAATCCCAGTCCTGCACAGTTTCACGTGAATGATATTTCAAAAATTATTAAAGCCTATAAGACATGGGTCAACGTGCTCGTACCTTCTTGGCACTTACTTCAGATAGGAATTGCTACGCACGAGATTGGTCATGCACTTGGACTTTTCCATACCATGTCACGCTATGATCGAGATGACTTCATAACAGTCGTCATCGATAATGTTGTAGTAAGTCATCACATGCACACTAAATCAAACAAAACCATAGAAGTAAACCGTCTCAGGATAATTTTGTGGATCAATACATCCCACAGACCGAGGAAACAAGTGATAACTACGGCCTCACTTACGATTATGGTAGTATTATGCACTATGGGGCATCCAGGTAGACAAAAAAATAACACCTACCAGAGCTGAAGTAATATGCTCGATGATTTCAGTGCTACTCGCAACGGTGAACCTACAATGATAGCAAATGACACATTGTACCAAAAAACAATGGGCTCGTATATCCTTTCGTTCCTTGACAAGTCCCTGATCAACGAGCATTACGAGTGCAAAGGTACACATAACGCCAAAATGACTGCTACTCAAAAACTGCTAAAAATGTTGCTATTTAGCAAAGTGTCCGCAAGAGACCTCAGCCCCGTGCCAGAATGGAGGATTCCCTCACCCACGAAAATGCTCAGAATGTATCTGTCCAAGTGGTTACGGCGGTGCTCTTTGCAATGAAAGAGTAGGGCAAAGATGTGATAGTTGAGTAAGTCGGCAGTGAAGACTTTTTTCAGCCAGCCGGATGTGGACAAACTTTGACAGCGACGGATAAGAAGCAATTCCTAATCAATAAACTCGGTCACGGACAGGTCCCGTCCGATATGCGCGATGACTACCTATTCTGCAATTACTGGATTGAAGTATGATCTACCGTCCATTCGCCTTCTTGTGTAAAATGGAACACCTTTCAGGCTCCTAAAGGAAAAAGAATTGAAGTTAAGATCAACGCGATTTCACACGGCTATGATCACGACGGCTGCGTTTTAGGGGGTGTTGAAATTAAGTCCAGTGCGGACCAAACGCGAACTGGCTACAGGTGAGTTCATTTTCAGAATCACAGCCTCAAATGATAATTTCACTTTTGCAGATTCTGCTCAACCAAGGATAAAAATACAGTTCTTGTTTCGGCCACAAATCGTATGCCTGTGATCATGTTCAATAGATCCGGTGAACAGCAAATCATTCTAGAGTACAAAATCGTATCATGATTGGATAGCATTCTCCTCACGAATAAATGAAAAACATTACCACGAATGTTTTTCTCGATGCAATTATTTTTCGTGAGCACGGTTTGATTTTCTTTTTGACATCTAAGTTAACAGTTGGATCCTTAGATTGTCCGCTTCTGTACGTTGCTGTGCTGCCCTTTTCCTTCACTGAATGTCGCTTATCGTTCTTTCCAGCCGTTGTGCTATTATCCTGCACGTTTTTGTTTTGGAGGGTTCTCTTTCTTAGCATGCAGCTGGCTATTAATAACAATCACCAGGAAACAAAGTTTGTTGGGTGGTAAAAGTAAAAAAGAAACCTCGCGCGACATTTAAAGGGATGCCTTGGATAAGGGTTACGGACCGTCGTGAGGAACACTACACTATGGAATATTACTTTTTGTACAGTATAAAAAAGCTTTGGAGGTGAATATCAAGCTTGATCCCCTGAGCGAGATTTGAAAAAAAGGTGCACTTCTGAAATTACCTGCCCAAGAGACCTGCGGAATTGTGACAAAGCTGCACGTTCTGGAAAATGCGCGCACAGAAGCGACGAGCTGCTTTGAAACAGCAATAAATAGTGTTCCACACAACAAAGAGAACATGCAAAAAATAAAATTTAAAAAAAAACCTCACGATACCAAGAATTTCATGCAAAATGCGTTGTTCGTGGAATGCAGCTTCTAAGCAAAAATTGTTCTTTACATTAAAAAGAACACGTGAATGACACTGCTATGAATAGAGCTAGAGAATACCAGAATACAGCGAACATCGGAATGATAGAATAAATCAGCGAATTTGAACCAGCTGTTCGCTCTAACAACTATCGAATTCTGTAGTATGCAATCGATTCTATGGCCCCGCCCATCCTGTCTCTCGTATATGGAAGTTATATGTACAGTAGCGGTTAAAACTTTGATTTTCTGTTTTGATTCAGCAAGCAACAACGATTAACATGCAACAAAATTGCCTCAATTTTTTATATATACACAAAATCAAGTCAAAAATATAGGCATTACAGTTTTTGAGGAAAGTCGCCGTAAGCGTTTGGAAACTATTTGTTTCCCTCACTATTCTAAGTCCTACTAGATGTTTGCAATTCCTGCTTACTTCAGTTTAATTATTAAGTATTACCCGTCCCTCAGCACGGCGGTTGGCCTTGCGGTATCTAATTTCTTTCCGTTCTCGATCTTGGGCTATGGTTGTCCAGTGTGTGGTCACCCTAAAGGACTCTGGATCATAGATGTTGTTTCGATGAGCAAGGGAATCTGCCCATCGTAAAGGAGGACGGCCTTGCGGCCGTTTCTTCTCGCGCGGGTACCATCGCACAGTAGCCGAACTCCATCGTCCGTCATTTCTCCTCATCAGGTGTCCGGCGAATCTGTGCTTCGCTTCATCGACGTGAAGAAGAATATCTCCGAGAGTGACATGGCTCTGACGGACGTCAGAATTATGAAGGTTCAGCTCTCGTTGGCGACTCAACGTCAAACCCAGAAGACGGCGTTCAATCGATGCCTGGGTAGATAGTAATTGCCTTTCCTGTGATTTCGTTAGTGCCAGGTTTCTCCTGCATAGCTGAGGGCAAGCAACAGTTGACTTGAAAAGGTCTGCTCGAAGTTTTAGAGATCTCGCTAGTTTCGTGCCAGTAAGTGAACAGTTTGCGAAAGTCAGTATTTTTCGATGGTCATGTTTTCCATCTTTTAATTTAATCTTCTTTAAAAAATTTTTCGCCGTATTTTCCTCATTCAAAGAAATCTTTCACCTTACCGATGTCCAGCAAGCCCACTTGAGTTAT